TCTTGGTTACCATATTTCTTTACTCATAATGTGAAAAATATTTTATTTATTTATTCATTCATTCATTCATCAAAAGGCGTGGAATTTACACTATGTGTCTGTTGCATGCAAAGTGCTGGCGCCATGAAGAGTCAGGTTGTAGAATACGTTAGGTAATTAGACAATGTAGGCAGTTACAGAATGAGGAAATTTTCTGGTAGAGACTGATATGGTTTGGCTGTGTCCCCACCCAAATCTCATCTTAAATTTTAGTTCCTGTAATTCTCACTTGTTGTGAGAGGGACCCAGTGGGAGATAATTGAATCAAGAGGGTGGTTACCCCCCACACTGCTGCTTTTGTGAAAGTGAATGAGTTCTCAGAAGATCTGATGGCTTTATAAGGGGCTTTCCCCTCTTTTGCGGTCATTTCTCCTTCCTGTTGCCATGTGAGGAAGAATGTGTTTGCTTCCCCTTTTGCAACGCTTGTAAGTTTCCTGAGGCCTATTGCTCTGTGGAACTGTGAGTTAATGAAACCTCTTTACCTTATTAATTACCCAGTCTCAGCTATGTCTTTATTCTTGGGGTGAGAACAGACTAATATAGAGACACACACAGGAGCTGTGGAAATACTTTTACCCTTAAATCAACTGTGGTTATTATGCCCGGAAGAAACAAATATAAGATGAATATATATATATATATATATATATATATATTATTTTAGATTATTACTCAAGACAACATATCCCACAGGTGACAGATAGCTGCTGATAACAGACTCCTTGACAAACTTTGCACCAGGTACTAAGAGTGATGTTGAAATTCATTCTACGTTGAGGTGATTCTTAGAATTCAAGTGTTGAAAACTGACTTGCTTCACTTAGCTCAAGCGTTAGAGGAGCTCACATTGATTTTAATGACTCTGAATCAACTATAGATCCATGATCTTTTGTTCAAAATATTTGGGGGTGATTGTATTTTGCAAATCAGAAATTGTAGGATTTGGGATATATAATAAGCCACAGATACCATACACTGTGTTTATATGGATATAGGACAGCAGTCCCTGACCAAAGGTATTACTAGTTCTATTGCAATATGTATGTATGTTTAAGTCAAATGTAAAGACTGTAATTTGTCTCATGTGACTTCATGTCAGTTTTGGGTAATAAATTGATCCGAAAAAACTTGACTTTCAAGTTTTTTTTTTTTTTTTCATTTTTATGAATTGAAACAGGAGTTGTGAACATGTACTAGAAGAGAACCACACAAAAGTGTCTGATGGGAGCTTCTGTTCCAGTTTCCCTTACATATACACACAGATGCACATTCACACAGCTGAGGTTACAAGGTGGTATTTAAGAAATGCCAAATGAATTGTGCAGTGAGTAAATACTGTATAAGCTTAGAGGAGGAAGACCTACTTCTTGCTGAGGTTGTTAAGGCCCCACAAAGCATATGGGATTCAGGAGCATCTTGTGGGAGAGGCGCACGGCTATGCGGAGTGCCTTGTACAGGGCAGCACACCAGGCTGGTCACGGCCTTGAACAGAGGTGGGTGGGACAACAGCGCTTGCTTCATGGGGAAAGGAGTTGGAATTGCCGTCTAACTTTACCAATATGAATTTGCAATGTTAGCTCCTATTTTAGTGATTCTTTTATGTTATGGTAAAATGGGAAAATTAATTGGAGTTTTAAAAAGGCGAGTAATTATTTCTTTCTGTCTCATGGATGATGTGACATTTTGGCTATTGCCTACAGCAAAACTAGCTCCATTGCTGTTGGATGTATTATGCTGCTTTCTTTTATGTGAAGATCTAAGAAAGCTTTATTTTATAGTTATTTTCAAAGAAAATGTGCAATATTTAGATCATTTGTTCTCAACATTGGCCGTGATTTGGAAACGTGGATCAGGCTCTGGGGGGAGGGAGGTTTTAAAATCATCCTGAAGCTTGCTTCCCACTCCTGGAGTTTAAGATAGAATTGATCTGGGCAGAGTCTGGACACAGAAATTTTTAAAGCCTGGTGAGTTTAATGTTAAAAACCACTGGTTTCAATTAATCGACTTTTGGTCAAATCTATTTAAAGGATGGGTAAAGTAAGTATTTAGTTAAATTTTTTTCGCAATTAGAACAAAAACATAAACAAAATCAAAATTAACTACATGTCAACTACAGTTTTTTAAAGTATGTTTTTAAACCAAAAGATCTTTGCCCCCCTCTTTATTCATTTTATTGAAAGAATACACTCTGCTAAAGAATGTCAGTGTTATGGTTCATGTACACACACAGGTTTATCATTAAAACCTGGAAACTGCTCTCCTCCCACGTAATATCTATATTTGGCATTGAATCAAAGCCGTAAAAGGGAGAGAGCTTCTACAATTTGTTCCATCTACAGCCTATGGGTTAGCTGCAAAGTACGTTAATTTTAAAAGAGATGGTTAGCCTGAATTTTAACCTTGAGGAAACCAGGGACCTTAGAAATTTACCAAAGGTCACACAACTCGCTGACGGTGGAGCCCCACCCAACCAGAGGTCTGACTTTGATTCAAGGCTGTTTTTATGCTACCGCGTTTGCCTGCTTGTATAGGCACTAAGGGAATATAAGCTGGGTTTAAATGGATGAAGACAGTTAAAAACAGAAGCAAAAAAAAAAAGAAAAAAATCCCTTAAACTTTCAGGCTATACGCAAGATAGTAGGATTATTCAGGAGGAGAAGTTACAATACCAATGTAACATCAAATTATTTTCTTATGTGCAAGATAAGATTATCTTATTTGATGGATATTCTATTGTGCCTCGCTCCTACCAGAATGTAGTATAGAAGGTATCAATTGATAAAATTGACTGAAATGTTTTATAGGGCCTACTTTAAAGAAAAATAAATTATCCTTCAAGAGTCAACATTTATTCAGATGGTAAACATTTGATATGTTTTCCATTGCCATCAAAAACAATGGGCGGCTATATATCCTCAGAAATTGATAAGGATTCAGGAAACTTTGGAAGCAAGATTCAATTACTTTCAGAAAAGTAGATACAGATCTTCTCACATCCAAGTCAACTGCATATTTGTAGCTTTTATTTCTAAGTCATAGAATAATGATACTGGGTGGCTGCTGGAATGGCCCACGTTTGAGCTTTATTTCTGCATGGTCATATGTGACCAAATCCTGCAATGAGGCTTTTAAGGGGCATGCTGTTTGTGAGTCTCTATAGAAATAACACCATTAAGTTTAAGCTAGCTAAAACGTCTCACTCTGATGAAATCTCTAAATAAAGGGGAAAGAACTTCTTAGGAATGCTGTAATGATACAGGCATTACTTGAATTAAAATGTCATTTAGCAAATACTTGTTTCTATATAAGGTTTTTAATAGAAAAAATAAAAATCCACATAAAAGTTACTTGAAACCTTGGGGATTTGGTGAATTGGTTCCTTCACTTGTTATTGAGGTCTCAGCTTTTCCTTGGAACAGCAACCCTAATGCTCTTGGTTTTGTCAGCTCCATCCTCCATCTCAGAAACAACACACGCAACATGCTGCTGTAGACTGCATTAGGACTGATGGCGCATGTGAGAATTTATATATTGATTTCTTCTCCAAAATATTTGGACCAGAATATTTTTCTAGAATTTAATGAAATCCTATATGAAATACAAAGATGATGGATCTAGAAAAAATATCCCTTTGCTTATTAAGAAGTATGAACAGGAGCCTTGGGGGGTATTGAAGGGAACATTGGTTTTGGGAATTCCAGATTTTGTTTTAGTCCTGTTTTTCCCATCAGTAGATACCTCACTGTCAGTAAATCACTAGCATTTCTGAAGTCTAACATCTGAAAAATGGGATAAAAAGCCAAGTCATAGTCCTTGTGAGGATGGAAGCAACTTGTAGTTGTAATGCATACAGAAGTTATTTTTACTTTCCATTAGTAAGCTCCTTCAAGTCAGACTCTCTTTTCTGTTTTATTTTCTGGACCAGAAATAATCACAATGAAATGTGTTAATTTAATAGGTGGGACAATGCAATCTCAAAATAGTGATACTTGTCTATTCTGTTTAGATGAGTACACCTGATCTACGATATTTTTCTTTTGGTTTTTAGAAAAATGTTCTTTCAGCATCAACGTTAGCAGGTGCAGGTTGAATATAGCCTATTACAATAAACAAACAGCTGACAATAAAATTAGCATGACTTCCCAATTAATACAACCCATGTCGCCAAAAGATCAGTTTCTACCACCTAGCCATTATTGTATTTATTTATATTTATAACACACAATGTCCAATTCATTCATTCAGAATCTTTCTAAGTCATGATTGTCCAATGTTACTTCAAGCATTAGCTTTCTTTTGACAGATAGATGACTCCCTTAGCTCTATGAATTTATTTATTTAATTGCATTTTATCCAATATTTATTTTTAGCATCACACACACACACACACACACACACACACGGAGACACACACTAATTGAAAGCAATTACAATAGGCTTATTGCATTATTAGTGATGCTAGAAAAATTATTGCTCAAATTTTACCTGGTTCATTGAACTTGTCCCCTGTATTTTACCACTTTTTCTTTTTTCTAAATGCCCATGTTAGAGCAGAATGCATTTTAAAAGTGAGTGGAAAAGGCCTTCAATAACCGTGTTTACAAAGCTACTCTAGGCAGCCAAATACTTAGAGCTATCACCCATAGCTTCCGAGAGCCACAGCGGAAATAACTGAGAACTTATTTTTAAAAACTTATTTTTCCCCTAAGCGATGGTCTCTTGAATGATCAGATTTTGGCATAACAATATGCAAACTTTGATCTCAATATATTAAGAATATTTATTTGTGTCCCAAGTCAAAAATGAAAGCTGGCAGGGCTAATTTTCCGGCTGTCAGTGAACTCTTGGGGATGTTTAAACTGTGTAGTGAACAGGAGACTTTTGGTCTTCAGGGACTGAGGAATAGTGGACTCAGTGTTGGACTAACGTGGCTGTGGTTCTCTGGTTGTTTCCTTTCACAGCGACACCCCTGAGCCCACTTAAGCCGCCACGGATGGACACTGCTCCGGTGGTCGCATCTCCCTATCAAAGAAGAGATTCAGACAGATACTGTGGGCTCTGTGCAGCCTGGTTTAATAACCCTCTGATGGCCCAGCAACATTATGATGGCAAGAAACACAAAAAGAATGCGGCAAGAGTTGCTTTATTAGAACAACTGGGGACAACCCTGGATATGGGGGAACTGAGAGGTAAGGGCAGCTCTTCTCACTTCTGCCACAAAATTGGGCTTTCAGAGAAAAGATGGGGCTTTCACAAATCGGGATGATTTTTCTTCTTTCTTTAATTATTAACGAAAAAGTGAGGCTCATCCAAAAGAAATGGACAAGAAAGGAAATGAGCAGATGACTCGCTTTAGTTTAATTTTTTATAAACTCCTTTGTTTCAAAGTGTTTATTTTCATATTTGTATTGACCGCTTTTCAAACCAAAGGCATCTATTCATAAACCGGATTGTTTTCCTTCTGCTTTATCTTTAACCGCCTTCTTTACTGAATGCTTTCGTAGAGTAGCAGTGTTAGAAAAGGTGCTAAATGGGAGGCTGAGGCGAGTGGATTGCTTGAGGTCAGGAGTTCAAGACCAGCCTGGCCAACATGGTGAAAACCCACCTCTATTAAAATACAAAAATTAGCCAGCTGTGGTGGCGCATGCCTGTAATGCCAGCTGCTCAGGATGCTGAGGCAAGGGAACCGCTTTACCCAGGAGGCAGAAGTTGCCGTTAGCCGAGATCGCTCCATTGCACTCCAGCCTGGGTGACAGAGTGAGACTTGTCTAAAAAAAAAAAAAGAAAAAGAAAAAAGAAAAATGAAAAAGAAAAGATGCTAAAAGGCTAAATAGTATTATCTTATCTTAAACTCTTGTGCTTTTTAAAATTTAGCCCAAACAAAGCAACAAATTGACTCACTGTAATGAGTGAAAGCAAGCCCAAGCCCCTTTAATAAAATCTCTGAGAAATCGAGATAAGACGGTGCTGTGCGGCACTTCGTAGTCAACCCCTTTCTCCTTCCCACACTGCCCCTGTCCTGGACAGGTTTTTCTTGACTGCTAGAAATCATGTATCATTGAAGTTCATGTGAGGTTTTAAGGGAGCTGCTGAATTTGGAAATCATAGCATGAGGATTAGTTCTGTGGATTCCTTAGGAAGCCATCAACCAATTTGTGGGACTAAATAGAATATTTTATCACCAGCAACCATTCAAGCATTTTTGATCACCAACATCCTTTTGATCAGCTTGATATTAGCAGCATAGCAGTACAGTAAAATTGCATACTGTATTTTCTGAGAAACTGCATTTTTCTCAGAAAAATAATTCTGTAAGGGGTGCTATTGATACTACACTTCAGTTTTGGTGTAAGTTTGATAAGCTTTTGTGGGCAGGTCAGGGGACTATCATTCATAAAGGCTGTAAGCTATAGATAACAAAATTTACAAATTAATTTGGAGAGGGCAACCTGGGTTTAAACAGGGTTCTGCATACACAGCCTACAATTCTAATTACCCTAACCTGGCTGTGAACCTCTAAGGGATATAATTGTAACAGAAAATGAGTTGGAACAATTCTAGACAAAATAAGTAATAACGAACTGAGAGGAAGGACAGGTCACTTCTCAATATGTTGGTTGCAGAAGAACTCACCAAAGAAACATACTTGATTTAAAACTAGAAAAGTAGGAGGCATGTTAGAAGGTGAGAAGGCATTCCGTGTGAGCAGTATCACATATGCATGAGCAAAGGTCAGGAACAGGCTAGAGACAGCTAAGAAGTCATCGTGGAAACATCTTGTACTGCAGCATAGATTTAAGGTTGGAGGTACATGATTACATCTGTAGAGCTTGATTAGAGATTGATATTTGTCCCAAAATACCAGCTTAAAAAGAACAAAAAAGAGCAAATATTAAAAACACTTTATTTTCATGTATGTTTTTTAGCTACAGAAAAACAACATGAAGCTTTATATTTCAACATGTTGGATAATCTCATTGCAGAAGCTTTTGAGTCAATGGTACTACTGCTTTTTGATGGACGATTCTTAGGTTTTCAGTCTATGTCTTGTTGAAGAAAATAAGCAGGGTTTCTCCATAGCTGAAGGCCTACCTGCAACGCCTGTGTTACTGGCAGGTAACAAGTTGTCTCAGTGACTCCTTCCCGGCAGGGCATTGAAGGAGAAAAATAGGGCTTTATTTATGTTTTGGTGCCAGATATTATAACTTGAAGAAAAATTATTCCTGGAGCACATTCTTCCTGTCTATTTTGAATTATCAACGCGGCATCTTTTATGTACAACTACATCTTAATGACTTGGGCGTCTGAATTCTGTAACATTTGAGCAGCTTGTCTTTCATATGGAAGACAAAAAGGCTGCTCTTCGACTCAATCACTCAATGTGACTGTGACTCAGTAGCCCATGGAATGTGATTAGCATTGAATACAATGCCCTTGAAAGCAACCTTTCCACATGCACCAGGTGATACCCTCATAGGTATTTATTCAATTATTAAATATTGCAAAAGCTTAAGAAATAAAGCAACTATGGTAACCCAGCACTTTGAAACACACACCACACACACCATCCTCTATTCTTGTAATGCTTCTAATGTATGATCAATCAATTAATAGAGGCAAAAAATGCTAATCCATAAATATAGGCATATCCACGACTTTAATAAAATGGTATCAGGCAGCTGAAGCATGATATAGCAATGTTACAGGATGGTAGGCTTTTTCTCTTTTCTCTCATAGCATTTCTCACATTTTTAAACACTCCATTGTTTACTTACTTTTTTTTTTGTATTTTCTTTCTCTCAGTCACTTGTAGATTATTAGTATCTATGTCTGGTTTACTCATTTATATGTTCAAAACATCTAGAATAGTGGGACACATAATAGTTACTCAATAGTTGGCTGAATGAATGAATGAGCAGAGAATGTCCTAAAACAAAATTACCTGAAATTAACATGGCAATAATTTTCATTTCTAGAAGGATCCTGATTTAATATTTTTATAAGAAATTATTTCTAATTCTGTTTTACTTTTTTGAAATGATGCATATTTTATGTGTAGTGAAACACAGACATATTACGTGTTACAGTTCTATGAGTTTCGACAATGCAAACACCTGTATAAACCACAGCCCTATTAAGATACATAACTTTTCCATCATGGGAAAATTTCCATGTACCCTTTCCCAGCCAATTCCAACCTTCCATTCCAGATAACCACTTTTCTCATTTTTTCATGATAGATTAGTTTTCCTTGTTCTAAAACTCCATATAAGTGGAATCATAAAATATGTATTTCTTGTGTGTCTGGCTTATTTTGGATAGCATATTGTTTTATGAAATTTATTTATTTATAGCATATAAAGCAAAGTAGTACCTTTTTATTGCTGAGCAGTATTCTACAGACAAAAATACCACAACTTGTCTATCTATTCCATTCACTGATGACCTTTGGATTATTTTGGTACTATTTTAGATAAAGCTTTCATGAACATTACTGCACAAGACTTTTTTTTTTTTTTTTTTTTTTTTTTTTTGTCAATGCATGTTTTACTTCTATTGGTAAATAGCTATGTGTAGGATTGCTGGGTCATAAGTTGTGTGTATTTTTGACTATTTAAGAAACTGCCAAAATCTAAAATAGTTGCATTATTGTGCACTTCAAAAAGCTAACATATAAGAATTCCATAGCCTCATGAACATTGTTCTTTGAGTCTTTTAAATTTTAGCCATTTTAGTGAGTATAGGTGGGTGTTTCAGGATGCCTTTAATTCGTATTTCCATATTGACTAATGATGTCAAGTACTTTTTAAATGTGCTTTTTGGTCGTTTGTATATCTTCCTTTGTGAAGTGTCTGTGTCTATTTTTAAAAATTTGGTTTTTTGCCTTTTCATTAATAAGACAAAGTATAAGGTTTTCACATATAATGGATTCACATTCTTTCTTGGACATATGCATTGTGAATATTTTTTCCTAGTTTGTGGCTTAACTATTAATTTTCTTAAGCCTTCTGATGAGCAGGTATTTTTAAATTTTGGAAGGCTAATTTATCTTTTTTATTCTTTCATAATCATTGCTTTTTGTGTCTTATCTAAAAAAAATCTTTGCCTGTACCTATGACCAAGATATTCTTGTTTGTTTTCTTCTGCAAATTTCGTAGTTTTAACTTTTACATGTAGAATTATGATGTATCTGAAATTAATTTTTATGTACAATATAAAGTAAAGGTTAAGCTTTATTTCATTTTTACATATTTACACAGTTGCTACAGAAAGCTGCAGTAAATATTTTCTTTTCCTCATTGAATTGCCTTCAATGACCTTTATTGAACCTCTATTGATTGTGTGAGTCTATATCTGGACAATTTATTCTGTTCCATGGGTGTCTTTGTCTTTATACCAGCACCACAGTGTACTGATTTTTCAGGATTATAGAAGTCTCAAAGTGAGGTAGCGCCAGTTCTTCAACTTTCTTCTTTCTCAAGATTATTTGGCTGTTTTAAATCCTTTACATGTCAGCCTACATTTTAGAATCAATCTTGCATAGAGGCTTTGTTGGAATGTTGAATGGGATTGAATTCAATCTATAGACCAATTTGGGAATAATTTATTTAAATTCTTCAAAATGTTGAGTCTTCCAATCCATGAACATCCTCTATCTCTCTATTCATTTATGTTTAAGTTATATCGGTAATGTTTTGTAGTTTTCAGTGTTAACGTTTTGCACATGATTTGTTAAACTTATCTCCAAGTACAGTTGACTTTTGAATAACACAGGGATCAAGGACAGCAACCCCCTCCACGGTTGAAAATCAGCAAATAACTTTTGACTCTTCAAAAACTTAACTGCTAATAGCCTGGTGTTGACTGGCAGCCTTACCAATAACATAGTTGGTTAACACATAGTTTGTGTGTTAAACATGTTTCATGCTGTAATTTTATAATGAAGTAACATAAAGAAAATATTATTAAGGAAATCATCAGGAAGAGAAAATATATTGACTATTTGTTAAGTGGAAATCCTCGTCATCTTCATCTTGAGTAGGTGAAGGAGGAGGAAGAAGAGGGGTCGGTTCTGCTTCTCAGGGTTGGCAGAGGCCAAAGAGGTGGAGAAGGTGGAAGGGGAGGCAGAGAGTCTGGCACTCTCAGTGTAATTTTATGAAATACATCATTGTTTCTGACTTTTTTGCAT